TCTGCGCAAGGATGACACACATAGATCGAGAAATGGTTGCACACAAGGCCCGTTTTGCTTAAATGTATTTTTTTGTGAAGCGGCACCCTGATACATCCCGCCAGATGCCCTGGGTCGTAAATCACACGGCTAGGAAACATGTTGGTGGTTTAACTGGGGTAGCTGGGGGATATCTCGCTGACAGCGCTTGCGTTCCCGAGATATGCCCCTCACAATCAAAACATCCCCAGATATGCCTCTCTCAAGGGAAAACAAACTTCCTGCCGATTGTCAGCGCCGTCATATCCTCCGCTGCAGCCTGCAGGTAGTTGACATGTTAACGGAGTAGGGGCCTTGTTGGACACCACTAGAGAACCGTAGAGTCTCAAGTGCGGCCTAACCCGAAAATCGTGATTAAAAGATACTTAGGGCCTCGTTAGACCCTCCTTGGAAAATCCTCAGGAATTGGGATGAAGTCCTTGGAAAATTTTCCGGTTTTCGGCGGCGTCGTTACACCGCGTCCTAATTCAATGGGTTTCAAGGAAAACCCTTGGAGGTCCTTAGTGACCAATTTCATACGCATATAGGTGGCCGCGGGGGTGGATGTCCGTCATCGTGCTGGGATGTCTGTGCGTCCTCAGGCGTGGTCCAGTGGCAGTGGCGGGGAGGCCTACTGGGCTGACGAAGAAAAAGGGCGCCAACATCCCCGTTCCAATTTCAAATTTTGAACCCTCCGTTGTGACACATCCGTGCGTGAGGTGTCCCGGCGGCTGGACTGGAGATTGGGGAGAAACGTCTGTGCGGAGGAGTGATGACGACCATGGCTTAAGAGGAGGGCATTGGAATGTTGGGGGACGTAGCATGTATGCAACATCGCCTTCGTGTTCTGCATCCTTTTCGGGCCGTCACAGCTTAGCGCGAACGTAACACTTCCGTGAAACGTGGAGAGTGTGAGCGTGGTCCCCATCGACGTGTAGAAGGTGCAGCGAGGGCGCCGGTAGGCAAACGAGTGGTGGGTGCTTTCGCATTGCAAGTCCTGATGATGGAAAGAGAGCTCCCAGGTGGTGCGAAGGCATTAACGACATTGGAGAGAAACACGGTGGTCGCAGTTGTGTCAGTCGTCGCCATGCGTTATCGCATTGAGAGAACGACAACTCGCCTGAGGATTAGATTGTCCATTCGCAGGCACAGGCAGTTGATGCAACAAGTGATTGGATGCACCAGATTGTGTGTCGTTGTCGGAATCCATTGTGCAATTCTGCTGCGCCATGGCATCGAGTGTGATCCGCGGGCGACGCCGAGATGGTGGATGAGGAGAAGGATGGGAGGGACATGGGAGGATCTCCGACAGGTTGACGACACAGCGAAGGGCTACTACGAGAAGAAGCTGCGGAGTGGAGTAGTCAATGGCGCCCGTTGGCTGTGTGCTGGAGGTTTCCCGCTTGTCCATCGTCATCTTCCTCACCGTTCGTCGTTTCTGTCTGCTGCCAGGACCCCGCACAATGACGCACACGTGGAACAACACGGCAAGGAGCAGGAGAAGAGTGGCCAGCAGCACGAGCTGGATCCGCCGGAGGACTGCCATGAATCGCATCATGCGAGGCGTGTACCAAACAAAGCTTGCATCAATGCGGCCGACAATAACTGACAAAACACACTAGGCAGATGCCTGCAATCGACCAACAGGGCTTCAACATCGCTTGTAGGAAAATAAAAAAATTCGACCATTGGACACCACGGCCAGCGACGCGCGCATGGAAAACCCTGCTTCGTGAAGCGCCTTGCAGCTGAAGAACCACCACTACGCATTTCCACGTCGACGGTAACGGTGGAAGGTCGTTGGGGGCCTGTTGGGTACTGGAGGCCGGCGATGTCCGTCCAATGGACCACGGACGATCTGTGCACCAACATCGATTCCAAATTTTCATGTTGGCGCTCGCTTCAGAACACTCCGTCAATCGCGGCTCCTTGAACCCAAGGAACCTCACGAGGACCCCTTGAATCCAAGGACATTTTGGCTGGGGATCCTGAGGAATCCAAGGAAATATCTCGAGAGCGTTTTCATATTCATTCAAGGAATTTGGTGAATTAGGATGCGGTGTACCCACGCCCATTTCCTAAAAATCGGATTTCCAAGGAGGGTCTAACGAGGCCCTTACTGCAATCTTCGTTCCATGTGTGCTTCACAAACTACTTGAAACGGCCGCACTTGAAACCGAACTCCATGGCTTAACCAATCCTGGACCAGGATTGCCTTTTGGAAAACAAGAAAAAAACAAAAAAAAAGGCCCCCAGTTGGAGTGCTGGCCCTATCCGCTGGCACTTGAACTCAAGGCTCCCCAGAGAGGTACCTTGAGTTCAAGTGTGATTTTGCGCCGGCCGCACTTGAGTTTCGAGGGCGGGCGGGCACTTGAGAGCCGGAAAGTAGAAAGTTACTAGAAGCAACTCGGCGGCGATGACTTTAGGGTCACCCCCTCTAAGGGTCGAACGAAGAATTATCCTTCAACCCTTCACCCCCTCTACGGGTCGAACGAAGAATTATCCTTCAACCCTTGAGTTCAAGTGGTGTCGAACGAGGCCCTACCATCTTCCCCCGAATACAACGCACCCTGATTACGGCTGTACTGACCTGGAAATTTAGCTTGTATACATTCATTTTTAGGGTGCGTTATGTTCGGGGGAAGACGGTAAGTCTCAAGGCATACTCGCACTCTCACAAGCGAATGAGAGCAGACAGATATTGTTCCTTAGTTTCGTTTGGTATTGGTATCCACAACGGCTAAGGATAAGGACAGATGGCCCCGACAACGACTTCAACCAGCCAGTCACAACTTCGTAGAGAGAAACAAACAAACACAAGTCCGTAGTCATCGACGAAGCTCCGTCCTGATGCTACCGGCTGACCCCTGGCCGATATCGCCCACCTGCTGTAGCAGGTATCGCACCTGCTAGTGGGTGCAGCTCCCGCATGTTCCCTTGTTAGAGGCTTGAGCACGGATGTGGCGGTTACGGGGTTCCCCGTAATACTATAATGACAATAAAAAAGGAATGAAAGGCCGTCCAGTCCAGATTTGACAGGTAAAAGAAGGAAAAAAAAAGGTGAAATTGAGAGAACGCAGAGAAGAATATAGCTTAGTTTTTGGGAAAAAAAAAAAAAAAAAGTCAATCGGAAGATTGGGCGCTTGGAAGAGGTCCCATTCGGGGTCGGCCCGGAGCGCTTCCGCCGGCGTTTCAACGTTTCAGACCAAGCGCTATCCCCACGGTAACGCGGGGACTGTCGGCCATTGACGTCATCGCCAATGATGACGCCATGGTAGATGTTTCTCCCTACCCGTCCGCCTTGCTCGGAGAGACGACTATGGCTGCCCTTTGGACAGCATAGCTCGAAGGGGACGCAACGTTCAGCCGAGGTCGGCCCACTCAGTAATGCACGAGTGTTAAGCGTTTTAGGCTTACGTTACTTTCTCCCAGCTTAGGTTTGATTCCTTGCTGCTACTTTTCATAGTTCCGTAGGTTGGGTTTCTTCCATGGCGGATACAGCCATGGATGCAGGAGGCAATCAAAGGGAAGCTCGTTCACCTCCACCAGACCCGAGCATCGATAGAGAAGATGAGGAGAGGGCTAGAGAACTCCTGCGTTTGTGTTATGAAGAAGGGTTGCTCCCAACTAACATCGATTCGGGAGAAATGACAGTGGAAGTAGGGAAGTTAGGTTCACCGTGAACGTTGCCATCGACCGCATCAAAATCGCTTGGCTGTCACTGTTATCTTTCGAGAGGGAGTCAGGTTTCTGCCGAAGAAAGTCGAAGACGATGTGCTTAGGGCATCACAAATGGTTAACGGGGACCTCCATTTTCAGCTCCTGACTAATGAGACCAAAACTGAAATAAGGGTTTGGGGGTCAAATTTTTGGTTTTTTGGTTTTTTGTTTTTTTGCCTGTTTTTGTTTTTGTTTTGGTTTAAGGTTGCTGTCTGCCAAATTTGGTATTATTTGGGTTATTAGAATTTGTGCTGTTGGGAGGCCTGAAAATCCTGAAATTTGGATGGCGTGTTTCATGCCAAAATTGCCTGAAAATGCACTTTTGGGTTGTTGTTGCTTTTTTTTTTTTT